AGTCTCAATAGCACAGAAAGTCCCTGCTCGTATCAGTAAACAACCGCCACTGTCCAACCGATGAGATAAGCAACCGGCTATTTCAGCGCCTGCTCCTGGTGCAGAAGAAACCCAACGACAGCCAAGGCGCCGCCGGAATCTTCCTTCCTCCATGACTCAGCCCCGGCAGAGCGGCGCGGTGCTCCGCGGCCAGCACGTGCTGCCGGCAGTGCCGGGGCGGGAGAACTGGAGCGACTGCACCAGCAAGTCCCTGCCCCGGAGCCAGCTGACAAACCAGCAGCTACACAGATTGATAGCCAAGATCTGGGAGCAGGGAGAGGGAGGGAGGAGATTGAGGAAGTCATGGAAAACTTGCGAGACAAGCCGTGGCTGATGGACGGAAACTGCAGGAACACACAAGTAAAAAAGATCAGAACCTGCGACAAAACACAACACCTAAGAAAGAGGAAATGGACAAAGATGGGTGAGAAAATGCCATGGGACATGCTTTGTGCCAGCTTCCAGGTACAATACAAACACTCAGTGTTGCCCTACCAGCAAAGGCTTTTCCAAAATACTTTTTTCTAAGCTCTGAACTCAGCACTTGTTTTTGAAAGCTTCCCAGAAATAGAGCAGAGTTATGAGGTATTTATAGCTTTTGAAGCCAGTTATGATTAATTTGAATCCCCAGCCTCCCAGCTTCAACCTCCATTCCCATCTTTTCAATTTTTCTGAAGAGAGCTGAGGAAGGAGAGGGGTTCCTGGTCAGAGAAACAGGTGCCAGCCTCCTCCGTCAAGGCAGCAGCATCCTCCCTGCCCTCGAACACATCACGTAACCTCCCAGTTCTCAGGTTGATGTTGGCTTTTATCTTCATGATGTTTTAAAATATGGAAGCTATCGAACAAAGACCTAGATTTGTACAATATGGTATTAATCCCACTGCGATTAACCCATGAGCTCCTTGTGGATCATGCAGTCACCTGCTCACCTCTGACAGCCCATGGAGACAAGGGCACTGTGTGTGGTTTAACTGGTCCTCTTTAAAGGTCACACCTTCAATTAATTTGCATCAACATTCCAAATGGCAGGTCTAAATTACTATCTTTTTAAGCATTTATAAGCCAAATACAGATTCTCCCAGAAGCTTTTCCCTCCAGGCTGCCTTGGTTAGTGGTTGGGCTCTGGGCTCACCTCGGGGGAGCACTTGGTAAAGGTTAACGGCACATGGCAGATATGACTTCATACTGCACTAGGACAAGGACCCATGTAAACCTTTCAGGGAATAACTAGCCAGTTTAGCTGACAGCATCCATCGGTCCCCAAGGTCTTCTACTGTACTTTCAGCCTACTCCTTCAGCTGTACTGTGCATATAGCGTTCCACCATGAATGGCTGCTGCTGTACGTGTGAAACAACAACCTACACACCAACAGACAAGAGGACCCTTCTCTGCCGGGAAGATGGAACTCCACATCACTTCGTTATGCGGCTTCACGACAATGAGGCACTGGGAACCAAAGCTGCTGTGCTGGGCACCGCTTTCAGCCAAACCGCTGATTGTTGCAAAGTGGGATTAGAAAGCGGTGTTGGTCTGGCTTTATCTATCCAAGCTCTGCAAAGCACACAGAAAGCTCGCTGTCTCTACCAGATCCTAGCAGGCTAAGCCTTTTCAAATGTTTTTCCAGTGATCTGGTGCCCACATGTCTAAAGAGCTGTAGGGCAACTCCCCGTCACGCTGTGCAAAGCAACGCAGCAAGTGGCACTCGGTGCTTCAGAAAGCCCGTCCCCACACCCAGCAGCTCTGCTGAGCCTCACGGGTTGTGCTTCACAGCCTGGCCAAGGTGATGAAGGCCATAAGCAACCTCACTACAAAAGCCTGCTGCCCTCCACCAGAATGAGGAGCTGGGCCCCTTGCATTTGTTACTCAAAGTTTTAAAAGTGCAGTTTAAGAATCCTGTTGATTTAGACTACAGTGTCCTGAATGGCTGCGGAAGGGCAGCCCATAGCTCTTCCCCACGGAGCACGGGGACGAGCCCCAGCTCCCAGCGTGTGATGAGGAGGACACAAGACGTTTCGCTGGACAGCACGAGGCAGCCTGCCCAGAGCTCTCTCCCACCCAGCACGGACGGGGAAGGGAAAGCATTCCTGCAGCTCCCCTCCGTGGGTTGCTTTCCTGGGGGGTAGGTGGTGGGGGCAGCAGGCTGCCATACCATGCTCCCAGGCCGTCACCTCTCCCCTCTGACCTGACCACGAACCAGCAGTGCTGCAGCAACTCCTCTGCCTTTCCATTCCTTCCAGCAAGGTGAAGTCTGATGGAAACACGGGTTACCCACTTCCAGAGCCACATGATCTCCAGCACAAGAGCACAGGAATATCTGACACATAATTTAACTTCATTTCATTGAACGTTGCCTCTGTGTGGCTGAACGGAAAAGGGAAGGGGATATCCTAGTTTTGGAACATGGGCAAGATCATGTCTTTTTGGAGAGTCCTAAGAAAGCTGGGTATTTCTTTCCCTGGTAGATACGGATCTCAGTGTTGGAGGAGACAGAGTCAGAGTTCTGTCCACATGTAGTCCCCTGTATCTTACCTTGACCCAAACCTTTGCAGGATTTTTGCAGGGCAAAGCACTGTCTGGACAACAGTAACTGCATTGATGTACTCCTGGTCTTTTGGGACCAGGGACACTCGCAAATCTCTTTGTCTGGCCTTTCCATCTTGAAAACGCTATGGAATATTGCTACTTCTTTCTTGTACAGAAGGGGAAATGAGCAGCAAGATAACAACATTCACAAAAGACAAAGTTGGGAACGCAAAATCCTGAGAAGACCACAGATCTTCCCATCTGAATTAGGCTGCTGGGAACCGCCTGATGAGTAGTACTACCCAGGACCCTGGTGCTCTGCAACTCACGGTACTTAGCACTGAAACGAAGTACAAAAGTACATACCTGTACCGCTCCTCCTGCAAAGTCTGCATTATTAATGAGTAATCCCTCTGATAGCGAACCTTAAGGTCCTCAAATGATTCTTCCAGTCTTGCCTGTGTCTCTCGAATTTCTTGAATTTCATGCAGTATTGCATCAAACCCTGAGCTCTGCATATCCAGAGTGTTTGTTTTGGAGCTGGAAGCTCCCACAGGGCCCCCTGTTGTGCTGTTGGCTCCCACTGAGCCTGATGTGGCACTGGAGCAATCCTCTTCACTGCCATATTTTGGGCTTGACTGAAAGTTCTGAGTAACACCTAGAGCCTTGGCTCCTGTCCCATCTTCCTGGCCTTCTTCTAAGGAGTCTTTCAGATTAGCAATGTTGTCTGCACTCCCAAACTTGTTCCTTATGAGGGAAGCAATCTCCCGGGGTTTGGAAACCACAGCTCCTGCTGCTGAATGTGTGGCTTGGGAGAAACTGGAAAGCCCACCTTTTACACTGTCTACTACTCCCTCACTGAAGCCAGTGACTTTTGCTCCAACATCTTTCAAACCTTGATGCATATCCCTGAAGACATCCTTCGGCTGCCGAGGGATCCCATTCTGTTCAATCTCTCGCAGCTTTCGGTGGTAATGTTCTAATTTCTTCTGCAGCTGCAAGATGGTCTGGGCTGACTTTTGATTTTTCTTCTCAAACACTTGCTTAATGCGGGCGCTCTGTTGCTTGTCTGCGTTGTTGGCCAGTTTCAGGTACTCTGCCACATTGTCATCACGGGCTGTTTGTTCGATTTTGATCTGCTCAGTCAACTTCAGTATCTTCTGCTGCAGGTGTGTGATAGCCACTTTTGTACGTTGAGGATCTGGGGTCCCATCAACAGAGTCCGCATTGATGCTGCCATCAGTGCTCGAGGCCACTGCACTGGAGGTCTGTGCTAGGCTGCTGACTTCTAATCGCTCGATCTAGGCAAGGAGAGAGAGAAATGTAAGTGCTAATCACCGGCTTTGCTAATATAAAACCTTTCCTTCTTTGTGCCAACCAACTTGACAAGTAAACGTACTTCTGCAAAAACGCGCCTTTTTCAACTGGTGTCAGTGACGTTGAGCTTCAGGTGCTTTGCAGACATCTAGTACAAGCTGACAGAAAAGCAGCACCCCTTGTGCTTAAGCCAACTTAATGGCCTCAAACAACTGAAAACTCAAGCACAAAGCAAGACAGGGCACACGACTCTGGCAGGCTGAGCTCTCTGAAGTTCTGGTATAAGGCCAGTAGCTCTATCAGCCAGCGAGCAAAAAGAGAAGGTATCTGTGAACGAGCGAAAGCCACACGCACCAAGTATAGAGCAAACCCGAGTTATCCCGGAGCTTCGTCGGTTTGTAGGAAAGCGATAAGGAAACTTACCAGCAAACCAGCGCTCTGCTAAGGCCGCTGCTTACAAGGGAAACTCGGAGCCCGTCGGACCCCCGAGCACACGCCCTGC